TTACTTTGGCTTGAAATACAAGCTTCATGAACATAGAAAGATTTTATTATCTTTCCATGGATAAGCTCTGTTCTTATTTTTCCCAAAGCAAGAGCTCTGGTTAAGTTTTAGAAGTGAGCCAAAGGCTTGGTGACCAAATAGTCATAATGTTTTTTATTTGCTCAGGTTTCAATATGTGCAAAAAAACCCAAACCCTTCCCACACATAGGATTCCACATGGTAGTGGTGTAACATGTAACAAATAGGTGACTATATATCATGTTTCACCACAACTTTGTTTATTTAAAGCATATTATATTTTTAGATGTCATGAGTCATATTAGAAAGCTTCAACTATACAAGGTAAAATGGTCTGTTCAGGATGCATCACTTCCTTTTAAGTGTTGACAGATTAGTCCTCATTGCTTGATACATTTCTTCTCTGAAAATACTCAACGTACTTAAGGACTTGAGTTCATGTTAGTTATGCTCCTAAGGCTTCTGAAAGTATGCTCTCTTCTCTTTGGCTGGTGACCACTTCTTAGCTGTTTCTAAATGTTTGTTGGACTCCCACTCTATTCCTTTTTGTTGCCTGCTGCATATCTGAAATCAAGGAATTATATGCTTAAGTAAGAAAGGATTTAAGATATCAGCATTTGTGTATTTATGTTAGTACCCACCAGATATCTAATACCTTCCAAAATGTCCTCGCTCTAGTAATTCTCTTGTTATTCTGCAGTGGTGTTTGTGAGGCTCTGTGCACAGTTTTCTAGGCTGTTTCTCTTCATCCTCAGCAGCACTGCAAGCTGGGTTGTCCTCGGCTCATTCTCTGAAAGAAGGGGAAGAAAATGTTTCCTGTGGATTCTGTTGGAGGAAAAAAGTGTTGCAAACGCTGCTCTCATCTTCTGCCTTTCTTTTTCCCAGCCTCTGGTAACTAGCCAGTCAGATGATACTGTAGTTGTGAGGCCAAAGGCCTGCACAGAACTTTGAAAGAGCTTATTAAAGTAGTGCAAGTGGAGATCTGTGTACACTGTGTTTAAATATTTCTTTTTTTGTTGGGGCATTTAATCTAACATTAGTTAAAGAACCAATTGAGATTGCACACACAAGCAGCAATCAGTCAGGCCTAAAGACTCCAGGCTTGGAGCTAGGAGTGTACTACCTAAAACAGCACCTATATTTTCTCTGGTTTCATGAGCAGTACTCAGAATTATGGCAATAAGTTAAAATTTACATTTTGTTGTCTTTATGGAAAAAGCCCACAGAAGCTGATGACAAATGTCATTAATTGCAATGATAAAAATATGCAGTCATGATGAAGATATTTATATTCTCCACTTGTTAGAAATCTGTTGACATGAGTACTTTGATAAATGTTTAAACATAAGAAATACTGAAGTGAAAAAGGTGTATCATCCCAAAATACATACTTAAAACACGGTAGATTTTTCTCCCCAACTCATGTTGGTTACCTTGTGCCCCAAGTACTCTGCTGACACTGGTCAGGCTGTCCTGTTAGTTACTGTATAGAAAAGCATTGATACAGTGCTTTCTTTCTTTCTTTTTCCTCTTGCAGTCTCCAGTCTTTCAGGAGAGATCTCCAACTCATTCTCTAGAAACAAAGCAGTTTTAACTCTCTGCACAAACTTTAACCAGCAGTCCACAAATAACACGTTTTTGCTAAATAACTGTACCACACAGTGGTAACAGCTACTAATAAATTTGTGTTTGTACAACCCAACCATAAATTGTATTGCCAAACAGTTCACAATCCAGTGTTGCCCGTAATCATTTTTGTTTAAGTAGTGCTTGCTCCCCCCCTATGGGACTGGGCTGTCAGTACTCATGGTACATTCACATGGTTGTCAACTCTCCCTCCTCCTGATAGATCATACCCAGGCAGATCTGTGACAGAAAGGAAGTACTGCCCAATCCTTTTCATAGAAGGGAAATCACAGTATAAGGACATGACTTAACAATATCAGAGCTGCAAATAGTCCAGATGTTACATGATTCAGTCTTGAGTCTAAAGGACATGACTTCATTCTTATTCCTATCATTACATCACCAGTGTGTGAGGCTCATGTACCCAGACTGATATAAGCTACAAGATGTAATGTGTGTCTCAAATACTAGTGTGCTTTTTGGAAAGATAATTTAGTTTATTACTTTTTTTCAAGCTTGTTATAGTTGAATTTGTACATGAGCAACACTGAATTAATAGTTACCTTGTTATGAAGAAATTGGTAAGTCCAACAATGAATTGACTTTATCTAGCTCATCTCAATTTGATTTTTTCTTAAAAGAAACAGATTTTTCTCCACTTGAGGCTTTTTTACATTCTTTGTCTACAATATGACAAAAAATTACCAAAATGCTATTACGAGTACTTTTTGCAAAGAGCAAATTCTGCTATCTGTCATCATAGTACTGCTTGTAGGTTGCAACAAATTTCTTCTTCAAGACTCTTTCAAAATGTTTGAAATCTGTAGTCATTCATCATTAAGCAGCTAGAGACTGAGACAAAAAGATTTTTGTGAGGGGTCCATAAGGAATGATTGCATGTAGATATTTGCATTTTTTTTCTGCGTTCTTAAATGAACTACTAGAAAGTAAACATTATTATGGTCTAATCGACAAAAATAAGTTAAATTGCCCAACCTGTTCTGTAATTTGACCCTGGATTCTGCATTTATGAAAAGAGTTTAGTAACTTGGAAAACATTTGGGTACTAACTTTTTTTAAAATGGGCCAAAAATCGTAAGCCAAATTGCTACTCTGAGATCTTTTGACCAATAACTACTGGAGACTTGCTGGTTCACTGTGTTACTAAGTTCGGATGGACAGGATTGCTATCTTCATAGATTAGCCTGCTAATTTGTTCCATGATGGCTATTTTGGTGTAGGGAGTAACTTTTCTGTGTTATATGCTTGGCAGGATGCTGTCATGATAGGCGCAAATCTTTTACTGTCACAATTACAAACATCACATAAATACACGGCACTTTCATGCTGTGGTTATCAACTCTTTGGTAAAATTGCTGTGAACAGTGCTTATAGTATTACCTCCAACCTGTTTGCATCATATAGCTTCCTTAAAAAAAACTTGAAGCAGACAGAACATGGTCTTTAGGATGTTGAAGTGATGCTAGGCTCTCAATTTTTTCTTAACCACTGAAAAAGAAGCCCTTGAGAGTATTTTTTTCCTTTGTCTGCCCAAAGAACAGAACCTATCTTCAGTAAGGACTTAACTTTGTATTTGTGATACTTTGTCCAGAATTAGAAATGTAGTTGGCTTTAAGAATTTCTTTGTTCTTAACACTATGTCCTATGAATTATTCTCCCTATCTTTTTCTTAAAGAAGACAAACTGAAATGTAATACTGCTGCTCAGGTAGAATTTCTACTGCCTAAGATTTTTTCTTAGCAGTACTTGAGGTCAACTTTCAACACTTCTCTTAGAATATTAATGCCCACAAAGTACTGAGGAAAGCTGAAATATCACTCTCCTTTTAGCACCTTTATGATACTGCTGCATTGCATTCCTCCATGTGCAGTCACATTTTAGTTAAGGGGTCAACTTGTGAAACCCATCTCTTCATCCTCCGCACCAAACAATTTGGATCTTATTGCAGAGCCCTTCTGGGGCACAAGAACTGTATTCCCTTACAGTGAAGCTTAAATAGGATCTTTTGATTTACAAGTTCACCTAATACTCTGCAGCCACTTGAGAATATCTAGTCCACAGGGATAGATGGGAGTCCTAAAGCACACACAGCAAGGATGTTGGATCCTCAGCACAACTGTTCATCCTATGCTCTGTCTCTTGCAACTGCACACATAGTTTTCTAGTGTTCTCACCTAGAGTAGAATTTCTCATATGAAAGGCTGTAGTAAACAGGAAGTTCAAACATCTGATTTACTAAAGGGCCTTAATTTTCAGAATAGAACTTAATAATGGCAATTTTCTTTCAAAGCATACCCTTTCCTTTCCAAGAAAGGAGGAATAGACACATAAGAATCACAGAGCTTTTTTTAATGTTATTTTAACATCCATCACACAAACAATAAGTTAGATGCAGTAAAAATAATTAAATAAATCTTGAGGTTCCAGCCCTCATACAAATAATTCAAATTAATAAAACAAAGTTAAAAAATGAAACCAGCACAAGTTGAGGGGAAGAGAGTTATTTCCATATAATGTTAGTTAAATGAATGGAAATTACATGCTGACTTGACATCAGCAGTATTCAGTGAGTGTTGACTCCTTAAACCCTATCCTGGGTGCCCAAGTATATGTAGAAAGGTTGCATAATCAAACTTCTAAGGGCACCCACACACCTTCAGATGTGACCTGGAAGTCCAGTCAGTTTTCCAATTTGCCTTCTTGCAGGACAGTTCTAAGTGGAATACATGGAGTTTGCAATGCTGGCACAGTTACAGATGCCATCCATAAGATTTTAGCATACATTGGATCTACAGAAATGAACCCTGTACACCAGGCTTTTTCTTACTTTAAATGGTCCTTTTATATGTGTGTTAGTGATAATTAATGCTAATACAGCTTCTTTCTTTTTGTAATGCAAAGCCTGATCACTCTCTCAGTACTGGTCTTAACAGGATAGGTTTCCAGGACTTGAGTCTTAGTGTTGTTCAGTGTGATTAGGAATGAGTTCATCAGACCATGTATAAAATGGATACTTAATAAGTTAAAACTTTACAAATACTTCAAGACCAAATGCTGGCTCATAAATTAAGTGGACAGATAACTTGATATGCATAGTATTGTGCATGGGAATACCCATTTAAATGTTAAATATTTTGGCTTCCCATGGAGTGCTTTTCAGGTAATTCATAGTAGTAAGATAATGTGTCAACTGTCTCTCTGCCTCAGGAACACTGATATGACTGGCAGACCACAACAGCTTTTAAAAGAAAAGCCTCATGACATTCAGGACTTCAGTGTCCTGGCACCAGTATAGGCTTAATTTTGTTCATTGGAGTCCAGATGTAGAAAAAAGGTCACTTTGGTTCAGGGAGAAAGTGACTCTTGGTCATTACTGCATTCATATTGGAGTCAATCCAGTTAAGGTATTGAGTAACTCTGGTGTAAACACCAGGCTTGTTTTCTTTTGCACAGCCATCTCCCCAGCTGACAATCCCATAAAGCATCATCCTGCCATTGTGCTCACAGACCATGGGGCCACCGGAATCTCCCTGACAATGGAAAGAGAACATAATAAGTAATTTTCTGCAGATGGAGCCTTTCTAACAGGGAGCTTTAGAGTGTTGCTTTCTATAGTAAAACAAGTCTAACTATAAACTAAAGTTTGAAATTTTGGGAACACTGCATAGATGAAAAACAGAAGGCTCAGCACATGTTATGACTTGAATACAATCTGTAAGGGAAGGAGTTCTCTAGTTCCCTTCTAGCAGGGCACAGAGAGAATAGTTACCTTGCACACAACATTCCACCCTAGGTGTTATTTAAGGTCAAAGCCAACACTTCCTATTTTCATCACAGAACCCACTGAATAGACTGTAAAATAAGGCTTTGAGGAATAACAGTGTCTTAGACACTGGACTTCTTGCTCTTCCAAAGAAGGGTCTGGATTAGAGGGTCTACATAAAGAGAGACTCTTCTGACTAGTGGAATTAAAATGCCACCAGCTGATCCATATAATGTGCATGCATTTAAAATGCTTTAGAAGATAAATTAGTTTTACCTTGCATGAATCAGTCATCCATGTGGGATCTCCAGCACAGACCATGTTGTCAGTAACTCTGATATTGTCATAGTATTCATATTTGCATTTTGTCTGTGATATTAAATTTACAGTGGCCGACATCAGTCTTTGAGCATAGTAAATGTCATCTACAAATGAAAGATTATTTAAGAATTTTCACCATGCAAGACAAAAGTCCATAACACACTTTCAGCACTTAAGAAATCAGTAGAATTATTCCAATTCCGATTTTGAGGCTCTTATTTTCAGCTTATGCAATGTTTGTTTACTTTTACCATTAATTAATCAGTTTTAAATAGAAAAACACATTTCTACTGCTAGCTATAGAGCTTGGTTTTTAGAGAGAAATATTTTGCTAGTGTTTGAAGCACAAATGCAATCCTTTGTTAATCCTCCAACACAGATTTATTCTTTTTCTACTTCTCACTACATCAAGAATAAAAAAATCGTTGTGTCTTTGCTCACTTTGTATGGTTGGCAAGTGTGAGAAGCAGCAGAGAGTGCCATGGGCAACTAGAGAATGTGATAAAAGATCACCTTTGAGATATGTGTATGTAGTACATAAAATAATATGAAAGCAATCTTGCTTTAATCCTTTGGACATCATGGTATTAAAAACATCCAGTTTCCACATTGTGCAACTACAGCCTTAGTAAGGGAAATCATTCACTTACATTGATCTTGTTTTCCATAGCCAGCTATTTCACACCGGGTGTTGTCTCTTAAGTAAAGGTTCCTCTCTGGCAAGCAGACTGTTCTGATATATTGGGATTCTACTGCACACTGTCCAGAAGTTGTTCTTATCCTTATCAAAGCTGAGAAACAGTTATAAGATAATTATATTTATAATCCAAGTTTTTAGCCTTAGTCTCTCAGAGAATAGAGTATTTGGTACAGTTAATACAATACAGTTAATAGCTCCAATTATGTTTAGTACTGGCAGCATATATGGTTCCTCTCACTGCTTTTCAAATGCTACTGCAACATTGTTTAGCAACAACAAATTTCATTTCCCGGCACTAAAACTGGCAAGTGTTCCAGCTTGAACTTCCTTCCTGGAGGAGCATAATAGCTCAGGGAAGACTGTTGTTAGAAGTGTATTTTCAGGTGTTTTAAAACCTTAGCTTCGTGACTGGCTGTAGAGGGTGGCATCTGCTGTTCTGCTGAAGAGAGGGGCAGTTTTTACTGTACTTCTCCCCAGAACGGCTTCTGAAGTTTTTCTTTCAGTCTTTTCCCATTGCAGC